GCCTGTGCCAGCAGGAGCCCAGGCAGGGGTGGGTTAAGCTTTGCACCTCATAGCAGGGCCATGTCCAGCTCTCACCGCCTTCTCCATCCATGCCCTTACCTTGAGGCCTCTAGAAGGGCTGGGGGGCTGCTGGCTCCCAGCCGAGCTGTGACTCAGAGCCCCCCATGGGGGGAGGGGCCGTGTTCCCGGGGGCACGAGTGAAAGGCCACCCTCACGTCCCACACGCTCCCTGCCATCACCACAGCAATAAATTATTTATACTCCCTCCGCTGCGACTCGCTTGCTGGCTGCTGCAGGTGCGCGGGGGTGGCACGGCCAGGAGGATAGGCTGAATTACTGTTCCCACCCCCCTGACCTTCCCGCACCCAGCTCTGCCAGTCTGGAGCCCCTCTTGCTGGAGACTCGGGTCAGGGTGTGCTGTGGGGAGCGGGGTGGGTCATCAGAAGGGGCTGGGTGGGCTGGGCAGGGGCCGCTGAGGCATCAGCAGAGCTGGGAGGGAGCCCAGACCCAGGAGGGTGGAGGAATGGGGGCAGCACAGAGGGGCTCTGCAGATCCTGGGTGCCAGGGTCCTAGGTGTAGTGCAGTGGGGAGGGGGCAGGAGGGGCAAGCTGGGGGCTTCTCCACACAGCCCAGCCTGCACGCCTCTGGCCTGGGTGGCAGCTCGGCCTGCCCAGCTGTGCCAGCCCTGCTTCTTGCTGCACCCCCTCACTCTACCTTGCACCCCCAAGCCCACCGCTGTGCACCCCAGCTCTGCAGGGGTCTCTGCCCTGGGCCCAGCCACATCCCCCTGCTGCTTCCCAGCCCCAGCTGCATCAATGCTACAGCAGTCCTGGCTGATGGGGAGCCTTGGAGACCGCTGTCCCCTTGTGCTCATTGCCCTGTGCCCAGAGGTGAATGTCCTTTCCCCTTAGCCAGTTGCTGGGCAAGGGCTGGGGCTGCAGGGAGCCAGGGGGAGCCGGGGCGTCTCTGGCCTGCCCTGACATGGTCGCCTGGGAGAGATTCACAGGGCAGGAGGGGTTTGCTGGTGCTGCTGGGTTCTCCCAGGGCTGGGGGGTCACATGGGAAGGAGTTTCTCTCTGAGGCCCAGGCGGGAGGTTTCCGAAGCTGTGAGTAATGGGGAAGGCTAAAAAAGCCCCCGTTGGCTGCAGGCTCTCGCAGTGACCCCAGCCGCTGTGCAGGATCAGGGCCAGCCCCCACCTGTTCAACCCCGGCTCCAGCCTCCTTCAGCCCCAGTGGATGCCCCCCCTCCCCAGCCCGGGGGAGCCTCAGACTCACTGAGCCCACCTGACGGGCCTGCTGGGCTCTGCAATCCCTCCCTGCACCATCCCAGCCCCCCGCGCCCACAGGCTGAGGTGCTGGAGCCATCCCCCAACACGGGAACCTCCCAGCGGGTGAATTTCCTGCGCTGGCGTGCGAGGAAGTGCGCGGCAGCAGCCCCAAGGTCAGCAGGATTGTGCTTCCCGAGCAGAGGCACTGACGGCTCCTCCGTCTGGACATCCAGCTCCGTGAGCCCCGTAAGTCCCCCCTTCTACTTTCCTACCACCTCCAGGGCAGCAGCTGGGTTTGGGGGCGCTGCTTGTGGGCAGCATGGCATCGCCTGCAGGTGCTCCCTTTCACGCCTACCGCTTGGGGACCCTCGTGCCAGGCTGGAGGAAGCCACTGTGTCAGGCAGGGACAGCAGGGGAGGCCTGTCTACACTAGGGCTTAGGGCTGGGGTAGGACTGTGAGGAGGCTGCTGTGTCAGAGACCTGGATTCAAGTCCCAGACTCCCTCGGGTGGGTCTCCTCAGGGGCCCCCGGGCTTCAGCCTGCTGCCTGTATAAGGATGATGATCCCCTCCTGTGTCATGGATGGAGCCCAGGTAAGCGTGAGCAGCTCACAGGTCTGGACTGGCCACAGACCCATAGCCCTGCTGCCCTGGTGCTGCCCTCGCCCCATTCATCCATGCCCAGCCCCCCACAGCACAGACCACAAAGCCCTTGAAGGAGGTTCCCCATTACCCTGATGGGAAAACTGAGGCATGGGGATGGGGGTCTTGCCCAGGGCCACCCAGCAGAGCAGTGGCAGAGGAAGGACCCCAAACCTGGTCGGTCTGTGCCCTGTTCTTTCCATTGCACCACACTCCCCCTGCACCCCTCCAGGCCTGGTTTCAACCTGCCCCACCGAACTCCCGGGCAGACAGCCCCACCTGCCCCATCCCATGGGCTGGCACCTGCCCCATGGGGCATGATCCTGGCACTTTGGGGAAAGCCCCAGGCCTGGGCTGAAGCTGCCAGGCAGGGCAGTGTCCCCTCCAACCCCCTCTTCCCCCCATACACACACACACACACACACACACTCCCCTTCCCTTCCCCAGCCTGGGAAACTCCCCTGAACTCATGACACCGCTGTTTCCCTATTCCCAGCATCACCCCTGTTAACCCCCCAGGGGATGCCCCAGCTGAATGCTGGTGCAGATAAAGCGTGGGGCCTCAGCTAGCGACGGGGTTAAATCCCCCTCTGGCCCCATGCCAGGGGGGGCTGGGGCAGGTAGTGCCCTTGGAAGCCCCTGGGGCGGCACTGGGTGTCACTGCCTGTGTCGGCCTGGCCCAGCCCCATATCTCCTCCACTGGGAGTCACTGGGAACCCTTGGGGGACACTAACCCCAGCCAGCCCCAACCCCCCAGCCAGCTCCGCATGGCTCAGGGAGGCAGCTTGGGGCTGGCGCTAGCAGCATCCTCTGGGCACCTGGCGCATGCCGGGGCAGCAGTGCTGGGAGCGTGACCCGTCATCCCCTGGGAAGGACCCTTCTCCCAAGAGCTGGCCTTTCCAACCCCTCTGACATCACTGGGGCCAAGCTACTGCCCCCAGCTGCTCTTTCTTCAGGCTCCGTTTGGGACATCAAGGATGAGGTGGATGGTGCAAGTCACCCTGGTCCTGCTGGCCTGTCCAGTCTCCTGCGTTGCTGATAGCGCCACGGAGGAAGGTAGGAGGGGTGGCACAGACACATGTCTCCAGGACCTCCCTGGCAGAAGGGCCTAGCGCACAAGTGCCCCATTGAGCCCTGGAGCCTGTCTCCACCAGGGTCTGGGTACAGGGGATGGGGTCTCCTGTAGGCTGGAAGCCTTTATGGCTTGGTCCTAGCCAGCAGATAGCAGCCTGTGACATGAGGGCTGGGGCAGAAGCAGGAGAAGGCTGAGGGCAGAGCTGGGCTGTCAGGAGCGTGGCCAGCTCTTGGTTAGCAGGGCCAGGGAACCCAGGAGTTCTGAGTGCTGCCTCTGGGGGCAAGACACTAGGGTGAGGTGCGCAAAGCCTCCAAGGCCTTTGACCCGATGGAGAAAGGCAGAGGCAGCAGTGCCAGCCGGGACCTAGCGGGCATGGTGTAGTTAAGGAGGGTTGGCCGCTGCACTGGGGCAAAAGGCAGAGCAGGTTTGCACCTTTTTAGACTGGTTGCCTCAGAGCTGGGCAGCGTGAGCTTCCCTGAGCAGGGGGCCAGACCTGCAAAGGGGCTGCAGGGAGCAGAGCTGCCCAAGGGAAAGCTGTGACCAGAATATAAAGGGTGGGGAAAGGGGGGTGCTGCCGGGAAGGTAGAGAGGGAAACACAAAGCCGTGAACCCCTCCAGGGACCCAGGGCTTATGGAAGCTAATCCAGGTAATGGGATAAGAACCAGTAGTTTTGGATTAGACCACCCGATCCAGTCTGGGGGCATCTTCTTGTTCCACAATTTCCCATTCCAGTTCACATCTCGAGCGTTGTGGTCCAAGAAGAGCAATTAGCCAGTGAGGGTGGGTGGGGAGGCTCCCCATGGAGCCCGGAAGCCACAATCCAGTTCAGGTGGCAGCGACAGCCCTGTCTCCGCCCCAGACCCCTGGCCCCTGCAGCACAGCGTGCTGGGCTCCGATGTGCTGCTGCGCTGTGCAGTGCCTGTTGGGGCCGCGGGCGTGGAGTGGCGAGTGAACGGCACAAGCGTGGCCACAGCCCTAGATGTGCTGGTGCTGCCCAATGCCAGCCTGGCACAGGAGGGCGACTACAGCTGCCACCACCCTGCCAGCGGTGAGGCCCTGCAGAGGATCCGGCTGCGCCTGGGCTGTGAGTGAGACCTGGAGTTCCCTCCCATTTGTGTGTGTGGGGGGGGTCTATCCCTTCCCCTGCCCTCACTGTGCAGGACCCCTGAGCTTGCTGCTGGCATTGAACCCAGGCCCTCTGGATCTCACAGGCTGAGCTCAGAGACCGCTCAGGGGCTGGGCAGGTTCATCCACCTGGTGCAGTCCAGCCAGAGCTAGGTTGCTGCCTGCAGGGGTGGGGGTGATAGGCTGCAGCAGGGCTTAGCTCCCCAGGGGCACGCCGAGCTCCTCTGCCAGCTGGGGTGATGCCCAGGCCTTACCCCCCCTGCAGTGCCCCCTGGGAAGCTTGCCATCGAGTGCTGGGCCATCAGCTATCCCCAGACAGTCAACTGCACCTGGAGCCTGGCAGCTGACGTGCACCTGGACATGGAGTTCATTGCCACATACAGGTGAGAGGTCTCTCCCTCCCAGGGCTGGGACTCTGCTGGGGACAGTGAAATCAGCCCCTGGGGATATTCAGGCCCCCCGCACCCCAGGCCTAGACTAGGAGGATGTCCCCCATCTCCAAGTCCAGACTCCAGGCTCATCCCAAAGAGCCATGTTAGCACAAAGCCCGAGGAGAGTACCGGTGCACTGAGATCTGTGAATTCATGACACTTGTGGCAGTGCCCCCACCCTGCCCTGAGCCAGCCACTGCCAGGCAGTGACCTATGCCCCTCCCACCCCCCAGGCATGGCGTGTGGGCCAAGGGGGGAGAGACTGAGTGCGTCCAGCCTGCAGCCGGGGCCAACAGCTGCACTATCAGCGACATCCAGCTCTTCTCCATCACCCCCTACGTGCTGAACATCACGGCCGTGAACCCCCTGGGCACTGCCACCAGCCTCTTCCCCTTCATCGTGGAGCATATCAGTAAGAGTGCTTGAGGCATACTATTGCGGGCAGGGTGGGAAGATGGTGTGGGGGGATACTTCTTAGAACAGGGTGAGTAGGCTAGTGGTTAGAGCAGGGGCAGGGGGTGAGGAATCAGGGCTCCTGGGTCTATTCCCACTGCCGCCATTGGTTTGCTGTGTGACCCTCAGCAAGAGATGGGGGAGCAGAGCAGAGCAGTCCAGTGGAGACAGGGGCCAGGACACCTGCTTCTAGTCCCAGAGCTACTGGTGAAACGTGGCACAGCCAGGACTCCTGGGTTCAGTTTCCACTACCTACCAGCACTGCCCCTGAGCTTGGTGGCCCTGGGGAAGGGGATGGGGAGGCAGGTACAACAGCCAAGCATGGGGCACCAGAGCAGGGCAAGAGAATCCAGCAGCTAAGAGCGTCGTGTCCTAGCGAGCACTGCCTGGCTGGGGGGAGCTGAGAGTCTGTGGGTGGTGGGCCCAGGCCATGAGCCCCACAGAGCACTAGTTGCTCAGCTGGCACTGCCAGAAGGGGTGCCAAAAATCTGGCGCTGCCCACCTGGCCTGCGCTGTGGGTATCAGGGTCTCTGTGTGCTGTGCTAGTTCGGCCGGACCCCCCTGAGGACCTGCAAGTCTCTGCCATCCCCAGTGAGAGCAAGAAGCTGCTGCTGGAGTGGAAGCCACCAGGGTCGTGGCCGCTCCCTGAATACTTCCCCCTCAAGTACCTGATCCGCTATACCAGGCAGGGGGCTGGCAGCCCCCGCACGGTGAGTGTCAGCCATGCCCTGGCTGCGGTGGAGGGTCTTAGGGGTGGGATTGTGGAGGGTACATGGCTTCACTGCCCAGTACTGGGCTCCCTATGGTAGCAGGTGACCCCGATCTACCTGTGGAGATTCCTACAAGAGCACCCGGAGGGACAGGATCCGTGCCCTGCATCCTACGGCTCCCATGGAGACCACTCTCCCTCCTCCCATCATGTGCATTGGGCCCTAACCCACTGCAGGGCCCCAGCCCTCCTCCAGGCCAGCAAGCTGGAGGCTGGGGGTGGTGTCCCTCCGGAGCAGCTCCCCACTGAGACTGGCTCTTGAGGAAGTGATTTTCCCTCTATCACAGGGTGAGGCTTGTCAGAGTGAGCTCCATCTCCTGACTCCCAGCCCTGCCTGTCCTCACCAACCCTCCCCTGCCCTGTGGCCTGGCAGGATCTGTGGGGCAGCTGGTTGGAGCCTAACCCCTTCCCTTCCCTCAGATCGGGCCATATGAGCAGACATCCTTCATCCTGACCGGCCTGCGCCCGGGGGCAATCTACCACGTGCAAGTGGCAGCCAAGGACCTCACAGACTACGGGGAGTACAGTGCCTGGAGCCCACAAGCCTCGGGGACCCCCTGGAAACGGCGCTGAGGAGGGGGCAGTGCTGGGGCCACCAGGAAGCCTCTGGGGTTCATTTAACTTGCTTTTGCCTTTGCATTCAGGCCCCTGGGTCCAGCCACTCACCCAAGAGCAAGTCCAGGTGCAAGGACAGGCTGGGATGAGGTCTCTGGTGCTGTAAAACTCCCCTCTTCTGTTCCCATCACTCTTTCTCCACCCCAAAACTAGGGCCCAACTGACTTACATGCCATGTTCTTGCCCCCCCATAGTGGCCACGAGACTTTTGCCCGCACTGTCTGGTTCAGTGGAAGGTTCCTGCTATTTGGGCAGGTGCCATGGACAGCCTCCTCCAGACTGGGCTGAAATGCAGGCACGTTGGCCATGGGAGACACCACTCCCTCCCTGCCATAGCGCACAGCCCTTCACTGATGCTGCATCTCCTCTGGAGCTTAGGTCCCCCGACCCTCTTCCCAGCCCCTGTGCCTGCTCCTCCTCTGTCCCTAGAACAGATGCCCATGTCCCCGGCCTCAGTGCCAGCCCCACCACCCCACCCCTGATTCAGAACCTACCAAGAAAATACCCAAACAGGGCACTGAGCTCCTGACTCTAATAGCCCATGGACTAGTGCCTGTGACCCATGCAAGTATTATTTGTGTTTGCACTGGATTAATGATGACCATCAGCTGATCTGGGTGACCTATTTACATGTTGCTCACTGCCTTACCAGGACAGCAATATAGAGCTAGCTCACAACCTGATTTTCTATAGGTAAAGCATTTTGTAATCAAGGCACAATATGATTAGAATAACTGTAATATTCAAATAATCCTGCTCTGAAACATGCACTTTTTAGCCAGGAAAACTACAAAGCACCAGGTCTAGAATTATTCCAATATTCTAGCTCTTTAATACAGAGTATGTACTGCAGAGAAACAAATAAGGAAAATTATCTGAGAAATATATTGCATTTATATGGCACTGTGGTTGGTCTTATGTTTCTTTCAGCATTTGGGATATAGTGTCAATTTGCTAGCTACTGTCTTTCATTTGTCATTGGCTTTCCCAAGAAATGGATAAGATTGAGGGAAGTGATTCTTCCCTTCTGTTCTGCACTGACCACATCTGGAGTCCTGTGGCCAGTTTTGGGCCCCCCACTACAGAAAAGATGTGGACAAAAAATTTAGAGAATTAATATTTATCTGCCCTGTGCTGCCTATCATGCGGCCCTCCGCCGGAAATAATTGCCTGCCCCTGGGTTAGAACAAGGCATGAGGAAAGGCATGATCAGCGTGGCGGCTGGTCCTGCAGCCCTGTACGCAGGGAGGGCCGTGGCAGGGTGCTACACGCCCGGGGAGGCAGCCCCAGGCCCCTCCTCGCCCAAGAGCCCGGCACCCCGCAGCCTGGGGGAACCAAGTGCAGCCGGAACCTTCCTCCGCCAGGCTGTGGCGTGCGGGCGGGCCGCTTGACCTGCAGCACGCGGGAGGCGGGGGGTGGTGGTGATGGGCAGCAGCGCGAACCAATAGGAAACCAGAATTCCAGGCCGCGCCCCTTTCCAAGCCAATGCGGTGGGGAGGAGGGGGCGAGAGCGAGATCCCGGAAGTGCCGCAGGTCCGGGTAGGGAGCGGAGCGCCAGCAAGATGTCGGAGCGGAAGGTTTTAAACGTGAGTCCGGGGCTTGGAGTAGGGGAGGGGCAGGATCGGGGCTGGTAGTGGGGCAAGGGCAGGGGTCAGGGCCTTTGACCTCTGACCTCCGCGGGGGCGGTTCAGCCCTGGGGGAGCCCCGTCCCACGGGCGCGGACCCTGCTGAGGCCTTCCCTCGCCCCCGCAGAAATACTACCCGCCGGACTTCGACCCGTCGAAGATCCCCAAGCTCAAGCTCCCAAAGGACCGGCAGTATGTGGTGCGGCTCATGGCGCCCTTCAACATGCGGTAAGAGCGGGGCCGGGTGAGCCCGTCCCTCTCAGCTCGGCTTCTGTGTTTGGGAGGAGGCGCCGCCAGGGCCTCGTTAGCAAGGGAGGGTTGCGCGACTTCAGTCGCTTTCTTGATAAACGAGGCAGATGTCCCCCAGAGCGGCAGCAGCCAGCGAGCCGTCCTAGGGGCAGCTGTCAGTGAGGCGTGGAGCCAGCCCTGGGGTGATGTAGCCCCGACTTTGCAAAGCAGCTTCGTTTCTCCGTGCAGCCCGGCTGCCGGGAAGGTCCCCGCTCATCTCTAGGGGTCTGTCAATCAGGCAGGGAGCAGCACTGCTAAATATGTGTCAGCGTTACCCAGCCTTTCTTTTCCTCTCCTTTTCTGTGGTATGTTATGGCTCATTTGTTTAAGCTGCTTTTGTTCTGGGGAAGCCCCTTGTGAAACCCAGCAGGCAGCAGGAGGATCTGCTGGATAGCGTATGGGACAGGGACTTGGGAGTTGAAGTCAGGGTTTTGGCTCAGGTTCAGATTGCCCATGGGATTTTGAGCGAGTTGTTCAACAGACTGCATGCTTCTGCCACACGTTTACATCCCCGGAAATGGGTATAATATAACGACTTGTCTGCTGGCACTAATTTTATTCTGTGTTGATTTTGGGATCCCGAGATACAGAGGGGGGGCAGGAAGGCACCTAAGCAGGTGGAGTGTGCAGGTTCCCCTCGGCCCCAAGGCAGGAAGTGAGATGAATGTAGGTGTTATTCCACCTTAGTGGTGCTGATCAAAACCAAATGGGAAAGGACATCTCTGCTGCTTTTCTGCTGTGGGTGTTTGGGGTTCCTAGAATGGCTGTTGGGAATGAGGTTGCTGGGTGGACAGTGGGCTCAGGCTGCCTGTACGTTAGTTAGACTCTTGCTCCTGTTCTTTTTTGCATTACGCTGGATTCCTCTCTCCCTCTTCAGGTGCAAGACATGTGGGG